GGCCAATGTGGTGAAACCCTGTCTCTACTAAAAATACAAATATTAGCCAGGCGTGGTGGTGGGCGCCTCTAATCCCAGTTACTCAAGAGGCTGAGGCAGGAGAATTGCTAAAACCCAGGAGGCAGAGGTTGCAGTGAGCCAAGATTATGCCATTGCACTCCAGCCTGGGGAGAGAGTGAGACTCAATCGGAAAGAAAGAGAGAAAGAGGAAGGAAGGAAGGAAGGAAGGAAGGAAGGAAGGAAGGAAGGAAGGAAGGAAGGAAGGAAGGAAGGAAGGAAGGAAGGAAGGGTCGAGCCTTGGTGTTCCACAGGGGAGGCACATGGCTGTAGCTAACTTGCCCTTGTTACCTTGTTACCTGGAGCGCTGGTTGTGTGCCAAGCATTGTTTTAATTCATTCATCTTTGCATGTGATATACACAGTCATCCTTCATCTACTGGCTTTACAAGTGGACCAATGACCTGTAAGTGATCATAGGGGTTGACTAAGTTTCCCAACATCACTTGGTTAGTAAGAGGCAGATGCAGGATCACTTCTGGGCAACAGGCCCTGCAGTTCATGCTTCTCACCACCTTGACACAGGGTCTCCAGATGGAAGAGGGGGACTGAGCTTCTCAGTGCATATTGGTTACAGGAGAGCAGAGGGGGCTCTGAGGATGGACCCCGTGTGTGTGTGTGTGTATAAGAGAGAGAGAGAGAAGAGAGAGAGATCAGATAGCTGAGGGGTTTATGTCCAAGTTCACATCTCTTTTCTCTCATCTCCCCCAACCCCACCCCAGGGTGCTGGACAGAAAGGAGCAAAAGGAGAGCCGGCAGTGATTGAACAGGTGAGGGGTCCGGACTGCGAGGGGGTTAAGGGGTTCATGATGACAGGGGTCACACTCATTTCTCCCTTCAGGGGCAGCAGTTTGAGGGACCTCCAGGAGCCCCAGGACCCCAAGTAAGTCATGGCTGTTTCCTTCTTCTAGTCTTTCCCTTTCAGCGGAGGGGTGTTTGAGCCCCCGGATTGAGGAGCTGGGGTGTAATGTTGCTTGGCCAATGGAAGGTAGTGGACATTTGAGGCTTAAAGGATGAGTCAAAATAGGGAGGATGAACAACATAGAGACTGGGCAATATAGCAAGACCCCATCTCTTTAAAAATAGCCACCTATTTAAAAAAAAAATAGTGATACTCAGCTATACTCCCGGCTACTTAGGAGGCTGCCGCGGGAGGATTTCTTGAGCCCAGGAGCTGGAGGCTGCAGTGAGCTGTGATCATGCTGCTGCACTCCAGCCCGGGCGACAGAGTGAGACCGTCTCCAAAAAAAAGAGTAGGGGTGAGAGAGTAGCGTTGGGGGTGAGTGTGGGTCGGCATTGCCTGAGGGGAGTTGGAGCGGATCTGTACCAGGGTAGGTAGGTCAACCTGAGGTCGGAGTCAGTGGTAGGTTGAAAGTCAGCCTGGCTCAAACTTTCACTTCCTATGACTCCTGTTTCTCTGTCGCCAACAGGGGGTGGTTGGCCCCTCAGGCCCTCCCGGCCCCCCAGGATTCCCTGGGGACCCTGGTCTACCGGTAAGAGACTCCCCCTGGGGTGTATCCTTCTTAGAGGAGTGAGGTTTTGGGCTGGGAGCATGAGGGTCTGAACACGGACCTGTGGGCGTGGCACTCAGGAGCACACCCCAGGGCTGCCACTGACTTCTGCTCTCTGTCTCCCATCTGTTACCTACTTCTCTGGCTCCCCTTGTGTCCCTGCGGCCTACTGTGCTTTTCTTCTGTCTCCCTCTGTTTCTGAGTGTCTTTCATCTCTGTCTTTCTCCTGTTGTGACTCTGTCTCTTCGTCTCTCTTCTGTCTCTCTGTTGGTCTCTGTCTCTCTCCCTCCCTCCATCTCTCTGTCTTTGCCTCTATTTCTCCATCTCTCTCTCTCTTTCACTGCCTTTTCTGTCTTGTTTCTCCCTGTATGTCTATCCCTCTGCCTCCATCCTTCTCCGTCTCTCCCTCCTCTTCTCTGTGTCTCTCTGTCTCCATCTCTGTCTTTTCCTTTCCCCTTCTATTTCTCTTTCTCTGCTGCACGATCCCTCTTTGATTCTGTCTCTCTCCATCTTTCCCTCCCTCTCTGCCTCATCCTTCTCTGCCTTCCCTGTCCTCACTTTCTGTCTCCCTCTCCCTGTCTCCATCTCTCTGCCCTCATTCCTCTCTCAGGGCCCTGCTGGCCTCCCAGGAATCCCCGGCATTGACGGGATCCGGGGCCCACCGGGCACAGTGATCATGATGCCGGTAAGAAGGAGATGGAGTGGCCCAGTCTTGGGGAGTGGAGTCCTGATCCAGGAGGGGGCCTCTCCCAGGGGCTCGCCTCACCACTAAATTCCCCCCAGTTCCAGTTTGCAGGCGGCTCCTTTAAAGGACCCCCAGTCTCCTTCCAGCAGGCCCAGGCTCAGGCAGTTCTGCAGCAGACCCAGGTGAGTGGGGGGCGTGGACACAGTGGGAGGAACCCTAGAGAGTGACAGAGCCCTGGTGTAAGGAGGGGCTGGGCAGGAGAAGGGGGGTATTTTTCTCCTGTAGATGCCTCTGCAGGGAATGTTGGGGGTCTTGTGGAAGACCCCAGGCTCTGACTCCTCTGTCTTTCCAGCTTTCTATGAAAGGCCCCCCTGGTCCAGTGGGGCTCACCGGGCGCCCAGGCCCCGTGGTGAGTAAGGGGGCTGCATGGAGGAGGCAGTGCATGCATCTGAGGAGAAGGATCATTTCCTTCAAACCACACTCCTCCATCTCTCCTCCCTTAAGGGTCTCCCCGGACATCCAGGTCTAAAAGGAGAGGCGGGAGTGGCAGGGCCACAGGTGAGACTGGTGGAGATGGGGTGGGATTGGATGGGAAGCGCCTTCCCCCAGGACCACGGGATACAGTGCTGGATGAGGAAAATGCCAAAGGGGCTGGGAATACCCTTGCAATTACTGACTTTCCTAGAGAATGGTGGCTCATGCCTGTAATCTTAGCACTTTGGGAGGCCGAGGTGGGAGGATTGCTTGAGGCCAGGAGTCAAGACCAGGCTGGGTAACAGAGGGAGACCCTGTCTCTATAATAAATAAATGTATCCCTCCAAGCTGGGGACGCTGAGGAGGGAGTATCGCTTGAGCCCAGGTGTCCAGCCTGGGCAGTATAGCAGTACCCCATTTCTAATTTTTAAAAAAATACAATAAAATAAGTCCCTTTTCCTTCTTATTTTCCTTTCCTTCCTCCTTTTCTCTTTCTTCTAGGGTCCCCGAGGCCTACAGGGACCTCATGGACCCCCTGGCCGAGTGGGCAAGATGGTGAGTGACAGCCAGGTTCCCAGACCACCCGGATCCATCCCTCAACACCCAACATGAGCCTTGGCTTTGTGACCTTGGGGTCTGCTGGTGTCATTAGTGGGACAAGAGTGTGGAAGGCAAGGAATGGCAGCTCCACTGAGTGTGTGGCAGGCTGCAGAGTCAGGAAGGACTTGCTGCAGGAGTGACGCTTGCCCTGGGATCTGAAATATAACCAGATGAACAGGTGGGGAAGGGGAAGAAACAGAATGGCAAAAAACAGGCCCGCCATACTGAAGGAAATGGCGAGGAAGCTGATTCCAGAGCGAGTCATGCACCACATAATGATATAATGTTGCTTGTAAGATGATTGCCCGGGCACAGTGGCGCACGCCTGTAATCCCAGCACTTTGGGAGGCCGAGGCAGGTGGATCACTTGAGGTCAGGAGTTCGAGATCAGCCTGAGCAACAGGGTGAAACCCCCACCATCTCTACTAAAAATACAAAAAAATTAGCCAGGCATGGTGGCATGCACCTGTGGTCCCAGCTACTGGGAAGGCTGAGGTTGCAGTGAGCTGAGATTGTGCCACTGCACACCAACCTGAGTGACAGAGTGAGACCCCATCTCAAAAAAAAAAAATCTTGATGATGTTGATGATGAAGAAGTTGGGTTCCTAATTTGGGGGAGGGGTACAAGGAAGGTTCATCCTTGACTTCTGGGCTCACTTTCTCCATAGGGCCGCCCTGGAGCAGACGGGGCTCGGGGCCTCCCAGGGGACACTGGACCTAAGGTAGGTGATGGGGTAGGTGAGATAAGACTTGGTGGGGGCTGTCAGGCTTATGGGTTCAAGGCTTACTGGTGTCTCTGGACAGGGTGATCGTGGCTTCGATGGCCTCCCAGGGCTGCCTGGTGAGAAGGGCCAAAGGGTGAGTGCGTGAGGTCCCTCCCCCAGGTCCAAGCCCTCCTCCCAATATTCAAGCCCCCTCTCCTCCCTCAGTATCAGAGTCATGAGGCCTGTCTTCACCCCTCACACCCCATCTGCCTTCCCAGGGGGACTGGTCTCTCCACCCACACCCTTGCACCCTGAACTCTTCTCTGTTCCTCACTTCAGGGTGACTTTGGCCATGTGGGACAACCTGGTCCCCCAGGAGAGGATGGTGAGAGGGTAAGTTTGGAAGAGAATTAGGGCCTGGTTTGGAGGGTAAGTTTGGAACCCTGAATGAGAATCAGAGAGGAAGATCTGGAGGTCTCAGTGGCCAGCTTGAGAGCTGGGGACAGATTGTGGGGTTAGGCGGTGAGAGCTGCGGGTCCAGGGTTGGAATCGGGGCCTGAATGGAATCCCATGCACTTAGTCCGCAGGTTCCCAGGGATCTTGATCTAACTCCGAGACCTCCTGGAAGGGGCTGCCCAGATGAGGGAGGTGGCTCTCTGAGGGCTGTACCTTCCTGTTCCCAAGTAATAATGCTTCCCCACAGGGACCAGAGGGACCTCCAGGGCCCACTGGCCAGGCTGGGGAGCCGGTGAGTATCAGGGATCCCTGGGCCCCTTGCTTGGTGCAGGGAGGGAGTCATCCCCAGGACTCAAAGGCCCCCTGGAACTCACAAGGCCATGTAGAGATAATTTGCCTGCTTCCTTTCAGGGTCCCCGAGGACTGATTGGCCCCAGAGGCTCCCCTGGTGTTGTGGGTCACCCAGTGAGTGTCATTGGCTCTCTGCATTCCTGTCTTTTTGTTTGTTTGTTTGTTTTCTTGAGACAGGGTCTTGCTCTGTCACCCAGGCTGGAGTGCAGTGGCAAGATCTTGGCTCTCTGCAACCTCTGCCTCCTAGGTTCAAGCGATTCTGCTGCCTCAGCCTCCCAAGTAGCTAGGGCTACAGGTGCCGGCACCATGCCTGGCTGATTTTTGTATTTTTAGTAGAGACAAGGTTTCACCACGTTGTCCAGGCTGGTCTCAAACTCCTGGCCTCAAGCAATCCTCCCAAAGTGCTGGGATTACAGGCCTGAGCCACCATTCCTGGCCCCTGTCTTTTTCTCCCTCACTTTTCTGCCCTCTGCATGTCCATTTCTGGTGCTGGCTTCTCTGCCTGCTAACCTTTCTTTCTTTTTCTTTTCTTTTTGTTTCCAAGATGGAGTCTTGCTTTGTCCCCCAGGCTGGAGTGCAGTGGTGTGATCTCCACTCACTGCAACCTCCACCTCCCAGGTTCAGGCTATTCTGCCTCAGCCTCCCGAGTAGCTGGGATTACAGATACGTGCCACCACGCTGGCTATTTTTTTGTATTTTTAGTAGACACAGGGTTTCATCATGTTGGCCAGGCTGGTCTCGAACTCCTGACCTCATGATCCACCCGCCTCAGCCTCCCAAAGTGCTGGGATTACAAGTGTGAGCTACAGTGCCTGGCGTCCCTTCCTTCCTTCCTTTTCTTCTTTCCTCCCTTCCTTCCTTCCTTCCTCTCTCTCTGTCTCTCCCTCTCTCTCTCTCACTCTCTCTCTCTCTCTTTCTTTCTTTCTTTCTTCGTTTTGCCCTTGTTGCCCAGGCTGGAGTGCACTGGTGTGATCTCTGCTCACTGCAACCTCTGCCTCCCAAATTCAAGCTATTCTCCTGCCTCAGCCTCCCAATTAGCTGGGATTACAGGCATGCTCCACCACACCCAGCTAATTTTTGTATTTTTAGCAGAGACAGGGTTTCACCATGTTGGCCAGGCTGGTCTTGAACTCGCAACCTCAGGTGATCTGCCTGCCTCAGCCTCCCAAAATGCTGGGATTACAAGCATGAGCCACTGCACCTAGCTCCGCTCCTTTCTACCTGTATCTCTCGGTGTCTCAGACTCAGGCTCCCAGCTTATTGCTCTGTCCTGGTCTCACATTCTTTTTTCTCCTAGGGTGTAACTGGAATTGACGGTGCTCCTGGTGCCAAAGGCAATGTGGTACGTGCCCTGTGCCCTCGGCCCCCGATCCTTCTGACACTCAGACCCCCTGATTGTCCACATCCCTATTCCCTTCCATGACTGATACCTCCACACCATGATCCCTGTCAGCTTCACTGAAACTTCACTTTCTCCCCAGGGTCCTCCAGGAGAACCAGGCCCTCCAGGACAACAGGGAAACCATGGGTCCCAGGTTTGAACTATCTTTCCCAATAATGGGGCATGGGAGTGGTCAGTTAAGACCTTAGATCATGCCCAGGCTTCCCAACCTCTGCACTCATCACTTCTTTCTTTTCTTCTTCTTCTTTTTTTTTTTTTTAATTTTTGTACTTTAAGTTCTCGGGTACATGTGCAGATCTTGCAGGATTTTTGCATAGGTACACACATGCCATGGTGGTTTGCTGTCTCCATCCCCCCATCACCTACATCAGGCATTTCTCCCAGCGTTCTCTTTCCCCAACCTCCCCACCCCCTGCTGTCCCTCCCCTAGCCCCCCACTCCCCAACAGACCCCAGTGTGTGATGTTGCCCTCCCTGTGCCCATGTGTTCTCATTGTTCAACAACTGCCTATGAGTGAGAACATGTGGTATTTGGTTTTCTGTTCTTGTGTCGGTTTGCTGAGAATGATGGTTTCCAGATTCATCCATGTCTCTACAAAGGAAATGAACTCATCGATTTTTATGGCTGCATAGTATTCCATGGTGTATATGTGCCACATTTTCTTTGTCTAATCTATCATTGATGGGCATTTGGGTTGTTTCCAGGTCTTTGCTATCGTAAACAGTGCCGCAATGAACATACGTGTGCATGAGTCTTTATTACAGAACGATTTATAATTCTTCTTTCTTATGCTTTCCCTCATCTTCATTTTCTGTCCCCAGGGAATCCCCGGCCCCCAGGGACTCATCGGCACTCCTGGGGAGAAGGTGAGTGACAGCTCCCCCTACCATAACCTCCTCAAGTCTCCTTCCTTCAACTCTGTTGCCAGGGAAATCTTCCCATCAGGGCTCCTCTGTTAGCTCTGGATAGTGATAAATTGCAACGTTCCCTAAGCCAGCCCAGAGTTACAAAGTGTCCTTGTTGGGGAAGAATTGGTTGCAAGAAACAGAAACCCACCAAGGCTAGCTCACATAAGGGATATTGTCAGGATACAGAGAGCCCACAGAAGCCTGTTACAGAAGGTGTTCCCAAGATGCACAGGCCCTGCGGTCTCATCTTTGTTTCCTGGGACATCTGCTTCCGCCTTCCCTGGCAGACAGACTTCTTTCTGCACATATCTTTTATTTTTGGTGCTGGGGGGTGGGGTAGGGTCTCACTATGTCACTGAGGCTGGAGTGCAGTGGTGCAATAGTGCCTCACTGCAGCCTTGACTTCCCCAGGCTCAGGTGATTCTCCCACCTTAGCCACCTGAGTAGCTGGGACTACCGGCGCATGCCAGAATGCCTGGCTAAGTTTCTTTTTTTTCTTTTTGGTGGAGATGGGGTCCCTCTATGTCGCCCAGGCTGCTCTTGAACTCCTGGGCTCAAGCAACTCATCCGCCTTGGCCTCCCAAAGTGCTGG